CAAAGCATCTTTTAACAGACTTTCCAAAACATTTCCCATAATTGATGTAAGATTAATGGGTCTATAATTACTGGGACAGCTTTTATCACTTCAGTGCTTTATTAAGGCACCTAGTTTAACACTACTACTAGAACTTGAACTTTTAGGTTTAATTCTGTATCAGAAAATAGAACAAGTATGATAAAGTAATGGCACTGAATGCTCTAACTAAAACTGTGTTGCTTATTAAGACTCAAAATGAGTAGGAAGAAGAATTAGGTTTTTGTCTGTAACTTGTATAAGTATTTTAGTTAAACTCAATGTTATATTTATCAATACAGATAATTTTGATTTTAGGTATCATGATGAAAACAATAGATAAAACTGTAAATTTGAAGTATCACACTTACCCATAGTGCACTGTAAAATGTCCTTTGCACTTTTTTAATTTCAATTTGTCAGACAGCTTTTAATTCTCTTTATATCATAAACAGATACCTCAAAATGAGTCATCCCCTAGTTATAATGGTTATTATGCACAAAAGAAGCTAGAAACACCATCACATCCATCATCGTTATCACTATCCAGTGTTTCTTCCAATATCTCGCTGCAGGAGGATTCTGTGAGAAATGTACAATTACAGTCTCAAGAGCCAAATCTTGAACAACCTTCCTGTTCAGCCTCAGAACAACAAACTACAGAAACCTCAACACTTGTTTCAGGAGGAAGCAAAAGTTCTAGATTACCTCCATCTGAAAATCCGACTATCACACTTCTGAAAAAAGCTCGAGGTTTGTTAGTTCTGTTCATTAAGTTACATTTATTTGCTTTGTTAGGTCAGAAACTGAGTGATGCTTGCGGTTTGTTAGTTCTGTTCATAACAAAGCAAATAAATGTAACTTAACGTCAGAAACTGAGTGATGCTCGAGGTACAGAGAAAGAAAAGAGTACTATCTTTTTTGTTCCTGATATTACAGAGAAAATTGTAATAATTCATGTCACTGATAATTATTTGTGTTTATGCACTAGGAATATTGATTTGAACATCTACAGAAGCTAGAAGTTTTTCACCATTGTATTTTTTTTATAAATGTACAAAGCTAGTTAGAAACCTCAGTTACAGTATTTATATAACTTATTAAGTATAGCATTTTTATGTTGGCATGTTATTAGTCATTCACTACAGGTGTAAAATATCACACAGCTCATTTGAAACAAGAGTGTTGATGTTAAACAAATATACAGATAATTGTATGATTATGAAAATGTATTAATGGATCATGATCAGTATTGATGTGTAGTTAGGAAGCAAATAATTATTTTTATGGTAATTATGAAATAATATGTGGCATAAATAGAGAAATTTAATATTTGGCCAACAGTTATTTAATTTCTTATAGAATTTTATCACAAAAGTTAGTCTTTTGTTTTTATTGTACTGTAACATATGTTGCTCAGAAAAACAAATTATATTTGGTAAAATTCTGTGATCATAGGAGGCATTCTTAACCATTATGGTGTTCTTCAGTTAGAAACAATATATCTCCTTATTTAAATGTATTATATTACTGTGTTTTTAGAAGCTATTTCGTATACATTTTGAAATTATGGACTTCAAAGACTTAACAAGAAAAAAGTTGTGTATTACAAGTAGGAAATAAAGTAATACATATATTTCAGCTTTCAGAAATTTTAACACGAGGTCATAGGTTTTTCTAGATTCATGCTGTTTCAATCTTTATCTTTATAATACTGCCTTGTGTAACTTCATTCCAACTTGATATTCTGATTAAAAATTCATTTTGAAACAATTTCCAAACCACCAGCAATTGATAAAGCTTTCTACTCTGTTCTAAATTAGAATATGAAAAGAAAAAGAAAATTTCATACTGTTATATACTGTTATGAAGTAGTATTCTTCATCAACATTTGGTTGTTGTTTAAATCACATATTAGTTCATTATTTATTTTTAATAACAGAGGGCCAGTTACCTAAAGGGGCACTGTACATAGATCCTAAAATACATTCTCAAGGTAAGTTGTAGTATTGTAGTGAATTATAGTTACTTGTATTTTTCAATTGCATATCCTATAAAAGTTTAAAGTACAAGATTATTATTTACGTTTTTAATAATAAATGTTGTAATATCTGAATGAAAGATCAGAAAAATATTAGAGTAACATATTTTAGTTATATGTTATACAAGAAATTCGTTACATTTAAGTTTGGTAGAAAAAATTAAAAGAAACTGTATGTATTTTTACTTTTGTAGATTTATACTGTATGCAAGTTTTCTTAACATTCTTCTTGTTCGATTTAATTGAATTTCCTATTTGTTAAATTTGTCATATCCTCTAGTGGCAGAACTTCTTAATATTTAAAAAAGTAATAAAATTGCTTAAACATCTGTTTCGATGAAACAATTCTTAATTATTTTATTAGTATGCCCCTATATTAACAAAAATTATGAGGAAAAAAATAGCAACTAAATCTTTGAATGTACTAGAAGCAAATCATCATGTGAAGGGACAAATTTGACAAATAAAATATACATATTCCATGTTTGTTCATCATGAATGATTTCTTATATATTAAACTATATTATATACAAAGTTGTGGGGCCTGGCATGGCCAGGTGGTTAAGGCACTCGACTCGCA